GCATTGAGAATGCATGATGCCCCTGCCCTGGCCTCATGGCCCCTTGGCAGCAGTGCATGCAAGAGAATTGATCCTTCACACTGTGGCTCCCTGCCACCATCCAGCCTCACACCAGAGTATGTCACCCATTCACCAGCCCAGAAGATCAGCTGGAAAGCACTGCTGGTTCTGAGCATATTTCCTGCACACCACCACAAAGTAGAAAATACTAACTCAGATGATCGGAAATCGGGGACTTGCAATCCACAGTTACAATGAACCGTGTGGCCAACATTTTAAATTTTCAAGTGTCAATAGCATTTGTGTTCCACATGTAGTGTTTTGACGGGCTAACTCTATTGTCAGGCAGTTCCTGTAGAAATGGCTTGACAATTAAACTTAGTCCAGGTCCTTCTCACCTCAAAGAATTGAATGAGACAAGCCAAACATGGTGCCCAAAGTTTCCTTGAAAAGCGAGAGGTGAAAGGGTAGGGGGAAAACTAGCTCTATAAAGTAAACTGGGGCTGAACAAAGAGAGGAAAGGATAGAAACAAAACTAGAAGCGCACTCTGCATCTAGAAGACACGGAGTGTGCTAGGTGAGGAGTCACTTCATGCCGTCCAAATCTCGCCCAAGCCCTGGAGAAGTACCACACCCGGCTCCTGAGAATTGTTTGGTGCTGTGCTGGAATCTTGTAATTGACAGGTCCCACTCATTTTCCCATCCAGCCTTGACGCGCCCTATAGCCCATATCACCTATGCATCGAGCATGTCTGTGTATGGACACGTGTGTGTTTGTGTGTGCGTGTGTGTGAATTGAGTTCCTTCCCTCTGCCAAACACTCCAGCTCTGTGAATCTGCCTGATTGGATCTAGTTCCCTCTGGCTTTGGTCACTATTTATTGTTGTTTTGAGTTCTCCAGTCAGAAAAACATACTATTTTTTTAAGCTGTAAAGTTTAAATCCCATGAACAGTGTCGGTAGAAATGAGGACAAGGCTGGGTTGAGAAAAATTGCCCTGAATGACTTTAACTCATGTCGGAAAAGGTCCTATTTATCCTGCCTAAGCATTTGCTAAACATGGCATGTTTGTCATGTATTTCAAAATCGTTTTCATTCTCAAGTTTTAAGTGGTCATTCTCTGAATTTGGCCTAATGGAATTAGAATAATGGCTGCAATAAATTCCAGAGACCTGATAAGACTTATTGTTATTGTCTGATTCATAACTTTCACATTTTACGATCAGTGGTAGGTCAAGCCATTAAGCTATATTTTTGGTCAAATTAGGACACTCATCTTTTTAATAGCTTTGTTTCCTGTCCTTTGCTTTCACAGGCTAGATTCATGAGGCTTAAAAGCTTCTTTTGCTGTACTCTAAATCTAATTGCAGTTCTCTATATCAGCACATTTAAAAATGTCTAAATTTAAACATAGACAATAAACAAAATAAATCTGTGGACAACATTACATGAACACCATGGTGTGGCATCCTCCAGGTCACCGTGTCCTGTGGCTTCTCAGAGCAGCGGCTGTAAGACTGAGAGTCATCCTTGCTTTGCCCACACATCTCCGGATGCAGAAGCCAGTCCTTTGTGAACCACCCATCAAAGAAACGTTCCTTCACAATGTGCTCTACATCACAGTGTATGACGTAAAATATACATCTGCTGTGAAGTGATAGAACTTGAAATATTTTTTATCAGAATTTTGTGGATCACGTGACCATTTCCCTTTCCCAGATGTCTCTGTTTCTGAAACCCTGATGCAGAACTTTCCAATCTGGTGGTTTGCTCCACACCCTTCTTCAGTCCTTAGAGTGGTTCTCTTTCTCTTCTGTCCCTTCCTGGATGTCGGAGTCTGTGTCACATAGAAGCCTGCAGATGATGGTCTGTGAGGTTCACACTCAGCCCTTGACCCTGTCACAGTGATGTAGTAAGCGGCCGCTTCACTTCCTCCAGTGTCACTGTTCCAGAGTGCGGCATGCGAGCCAGGTCTGTGGGAACAGCCCTTCTGCAGATATCCTTCATGGTCTTCACATCTGGATCGGCACAGTCAGGAAGTGCAAGTAACCTCGAGCTCTCCATCAGCAGGCTTTCTTTGTGCGGCACCTCCTGTACCCCGAAGGCAGACCTTTCCCCCGTACCTGCCGTGCTGCAGACCGGGCACCCTTCACCCCTGTTTGCTGTCTGCCTGGGTCTTTGAGGGGCACGGTGCCCTGCACAAAGCTTTTCACTACCCCGTCCTGCTGGGGCCTCACTCTGCCACCTTCCTGCTTCTCCCGTCGCTTTCTGCCCCAGCTGCACCTTCAGCCCCAACCTGGTGACCTCAGGCACCTGTCGCAGAAGCGGAGCGTGCAGTGCAGAGGTGGCTGTGAGGGGCCGGGGCTCTTCGTGGAGAAGCGTGGCGGGTGGAGAGCACCCCGCCTCCTGCTTGTCTCCCACCATGTGCCGTTGGGTCAGGGCCAGGTTAAACAGCGCTGCAAAAACCGTTCCTACGAATGCAGATGTGAAGGCTTTGTGGTCTTCCTCTCTGGCGTCTGCGGGGCCTGTGGTGACTGCAGAAGGGAGAAAGGGCGATGCATCTTCCCAACTAAACGTCTCGGTCTCTTCTAGCTGTGGCCGTTCCAGAGTTGCCGTGTTACACACCGCCTAGAACGATTTTTAAAATTTTTCATTCCGGCAATAGAATTCCTGTAGAGACAGACATAAATCCAGTTACTTTTTAGAATATGAATCAGATTCAAATGTATAATGTAAAGGAGAGAAGTGAAAGTAAATCAGTATACAATGTTGCACGCGAGTCAACGTAGCATAAAGACGCGTCATGAATAAGTAAAAACATCCTGTATTTTAGGTATGAAAGGAAGGAATTTAGGAGCTGGAATTTAAGGATGAATTATTTGCCTTTTTTTTTTACATTTCAAAATGTTTTCCCTCTTTACTTTGGACAGTTTTTGTGATGATGCTCTTTGATCTGTGCCCTGCCTAGTGTGTGCCTGCTGTTTCCCAAAGTTATGGCGATGTGACCCTAATCCTTAGGGTTAGACTTCAGCGTTTCCGATTGTAGTTAGAAATGTTGACCCCAGAGTATTTAAGTGCATTTTTTTGGTGAATGTGAAGCTAAGTGATGTATAGGAGGCAATCTTGCCCATCTATAGCAGAGCAAAGGATGAAGCTCCCATGTAGTTATAATCTATATCCTGATGTTAAAATAGAGATTTTAGGTTTATATTAATATGTCAAGTTATAGGCCTATATGATTGTATTCTTCTTTGTTTAGCAGTTGTGTCTTCTATGAAAAGCCCCCAAATGGTTTGGAAATCTGTGCTAGGAATAAAACATATTGCTGCTTAACGTTAATGGTGTTTTACCCTCCAGAAAATACATGCATTGAGGGAGAAATCTCTGTCAACTCAGAGCATCTTTAAGACACCCACGTAGAATCACCCCCTCCCAGGTCTTGCCAGCACTCAGCCACGCCTCCTAGCGGGCCGCAGTCCGAAGAAGTGTTGTCCAGGGACAAAGGGACAGCCCTGCTGGTGTGGACAAAGACATTCCAGCTCTGCACCTGTCCTCCGGGCCCATGCGTGGATGCAGGGAAGGAGCGACATTCCGGCTGTGGTCTGGAGTGGAGGGAACTGACCGCCCTCCGCTAGCATCCCTTCCCTGAGAGCCGTGTGCTGGGTGCAGGGTGAGAGTCCCTGTAGGGACAGACCCTGTGTCCCTCCTGTCACATCTCCCAAAGCTTCTTGTCCAAACTCTGGGCATGGCCAGCGGCACATAGAGACGCCCTGGGTCTGGCCTGTTGCTGCTCCCTGGAATCTCAGCTGAAAACCTGTGCCATGCTGTGGTCGGGACGTGAGATGATGTACCTGTCCGCGCAGTGTGGACGCCCAGCAGGGGACAGGTCCCCTGTGCTGTCACTGTGCCTCTACACCTGTCCCTCATTCCAATGGTACTGGGCTCTGAACTTCGAGAGCAGTCCCTCCCCACCCCAAGCCGCCGACTGCCCCCCGACCCAGGCCAGCAGTGGATCTGGGACCCAGGCCTGTTCCTGTTAAGTACAGGAACCAAAGTGCAAGTCCAAGGTCAGGTCCCAAGGGTAGCTGTCTCCTCTGGAAAAGCCCTTATCGCCCAGCCCCCCTGGAAGAGTGGCAGATCGTATTGCTATCAGCAGTTCTCTGGCATCACGCATACATTTTCATTAACTTTACACGTCCTCCACCCTCACAATTCCCCATCTCGAGACTGAAAGTTTGTCCGGTCTGGCCCATCAAATTGCACTTTTTATCTCCAGAATGCCTGGATAGCTGCTTATAGTTTACTCTGATAAGAGATTATACAGAGATATCAGTGGTAAATAACACTTAATGTATGTGCTATTTTAGGCTGAATCCCATATTACATGATGCATTTCCTTTTTAATCTGTGAATTCCTTAAATGAAAGAGATTCTGGTCTAAGAAAGCTAGATAATAGCCTTGAGGTCATAAATGCTGGTCCTGTTTACCTGAGAACAGAATGCTCATGAGAAATTTTTGTTGTCTTTAAGAGCCACAGAGAGAAAAGCAGAAGCAGAGAAAGAGCTGAGTTTGAAATATTTGTTCTCATGTTGTCTCTTCGGGAAGGTGAGAATCCAGGATTTGCACCCAAGTTTTCTCATAAAGACTGAGTATGCATGAGGAGGCGCAGAAGGGAGACAGTTGGCAGGGTCCACAGAGAGCAGGAAGGAGTTTCCTAAGGACACGGACTTTAAACCGTGTGTACATTAGAGTTGGTGTGTTTCGTGCTAAACATGGAAGTGGCGAGTATTATTCAGAGACAAGTGTGGACCAGCTGCATGATGGGAATGGGTAATGACTAGGCCTGAGCTCCTGCATCGGATTCAAAGTTACCTAAGCTCCTTCTGGTTGAAGGAGCCTTTGCTTCTTTTTACAGAGCAGCAGGAAACACTCGTATTGCTGGGGTTTTGGGAAGGTTGCGGGAGTTACCTGATTCCAGCATCTTGCTTGTGTTTCTCCAGCGGTGGGTCTGGCTGCGTGTCAAGAGCCAGCCCTGCCCAGCAACGGCATCAGACTCGGGGACCGCTACATGGTGAATGACGTGCTGTCCTTCCAGTGCGAGCCGGGGTACACCTTGCAGGTAATGCTCTCTGAGACACTTTGTGGCAGAGGAGGTTCACTGTGGTCACCCTGGGCAGCGCACTGAGAGCCTGAGCCCTAGGTCGGTACCCGAGCGCCCGTCTGGCTTTGCTCTCTGTGTGACTCACGCTAATAACCTGTGCGTGGTGGTGATCTTCCTCAGTGCTTAAGTAGCTTCCGAGTGACACAGCGCTCTGCCAGTGCTGAGCCTTTTGCTCTTCATAATGATTTTATTTCAGAGGCACACTCTTGCAATTGCCATGTAGGGAAGATTCTAAGAAACAGAACTGTCAGAGCCGTTAGAGTCCTACCTGGCACCCCCTTGTTGGATTTGCCTCTTCGTGAACTGGCCCTGCTTTGTAGCCATTCCTAAGATTCAGTTCAGTAAATCAGCACTAGATACCAACAGTCCACCAGGTGAACAGGACAGGAGACGTTAAATAATTTTCAGGAAACATGAAATAGAAATGTTGCTTAAAAACCCACATGTAATTTTAAGAGAAAACTATATGAAGTTTTTAACAACCTTTTGTAAACTGACACAGCAAATTAGTAATTTGTCTATTATCTATTTTCTTTTTTAATCTTGCAAAAACTTACATTCAAAATGTTCACTCTTCTGCGTAATTCTTACATAATTCACCCTGCTGACAATAAAAATGACCACCTACTCAGCTGTATTCCAAAGCCCAGGAGACATGGCTAAACCTAATGATGGTTCTGTTGTTCAGATAACACAGGTTACAGAGCGTTTTTGCTGTCTGTGTGTTATAACATTGAAGCTGATCATTTTTCAAGGACATTATTCAGTCATGTTCTAGTTAGATTCACAGGATGGAAGCTTTTAGCATGGAGGCAATGACGACAAAACACCTAGCACACGCCAGCAAATGAGCCAGCAACGCTGTTAGCATAGACAGAGGGGCACACCTGAAGTTTGCTTCCCAGAAGCCAGGCTGCAGTTTCCACCCATGCGCTCTGCAGCGCTGCACCACAGCAGACTCTGGAGAGGCCTGTGGTGGGGAGGACGCCCCTCCCATCCCAAGCACTCCAGGGCTGTGTGGCCTGGATCCTGGAGCCCCAGCACGCTGGCTTCCCGTGTGACGGCGCAAAGGATCTGGTGTCCCTTCTCCCTGGAGCGATGCCTCAGTCTGTGCCAACAGTCGGCTTCGTGCCTTTATTTCTGAACCACACCACAACCAGCTGGCGGGATGCACACACCATGCTCTCCCTCTTCTCCCATATTTATTTCTGTGCTTTCATACGTGCTCTTCCTCGCTGATGTTGTTCCTTCCCACTTGCTGAGGACCTGACATGGTAGTTTTGTTAGCATGCTTTTTCAAGTGATGTTTTTACAGGTCTTAGAGAATAAAATTGCTCATTAGTACGGTAATATTTTACAATGTGTTGAATGATTTGCTGCTTAGACCCACAGCCCTCAGAAACATGATTGGGTTGTGTATTAGCTCTGGTTTTTCAAGTGCAAATTTAGCTATTTTCTTCCTCATTACAAACAGCTTTGAGCATAGAATTTGCAAGCTGTTTGTCATTGATGTGAGCAAAAAGGGATTCTGGATTTTTTTTTGAATTTCCAGCACCATTTTACTAACACAGAGTTGGAACGTGGTTCGAGTGGCAGGCTCTGGTGATATTCATGAGCAGTGCTCAGAAGTGCTTGGAGTTGCATAAATCTCGAATATCTGAATGATTTCTGATTTCCAGCCTGTCTGGACTTGCTTTAGTGATTTTTTTTTTTTTTTTGTACTGGGGCTCGAACTCCGGTCCTTGTGCTTGCACACCAGGCGATGAAACCACTGAGCTAAATCCCCGGTGCTTTAGTGATCTTTTAAAAGTTGAAAAAATAAAATTTCCACTTGAGTAAAAAAAAAAATAGTAAATACACAATATCCTGTCTTGGTTTTGATCCATTGCAAAAATTTTAACTGGAATCATTCATCTGAAAACGTTTATAGTAAAATCAATAGCAGAATATGACCTAGGCGGGTAATAAATGGCTATTTTATTGGTAGCTTTCAAGAAATATCTTTAAATGCTTTTGCACTGAAAGTTTATCTATATTTCAGGAAGAAATTTAGTAAACATAATTTTTTTTGGTACCAGGGATCAAACCCAGGACCTTGCACTTCCGAGGCAAGCAGCAGAACCACTGAGCTAAATCCCCGGCTACTAAACATAATTTAAGGGATCACAGAATGAGTGAGCACAGACAGAGCATGAACTTTAGCAGCAAAAACATTGTCCAGAATGTCTCCTTTAAACATAAGTACTGTCTCCCTTTCCTTGAACTATTCCATAAAACATTCGAAGATCTGAGGAATTAGTCGTGCGGCAGATTAACCAGGTAGGAGGGCTCCCAGGCTTGGGGAGCCAGCTTGTCCTCGGCAGCTGCCCCATGGCAAACTCCTCTGCCCAAGTTCCCAGTGTGGTTGGGATTCTTCACCGTGAATTCAAGGTTCGTCCCTTGGTCACCTCTGTGCGCCTCGTGCTGGCACATGGGAATTCGCGGGACAAGAGGTGTGGCAGGTAAGGCCACCCCCGAGTCGCAGTGAAGAAAAGCAAAAGCACCCTGCAGTCCCACCTGTCACGTGCTGGGTGACAACAAGACAGCGCTGCATGGGAAACCCTTCCCGGCTTCCGCCTGGGCTTTGAGAGGGACAGACTAGAACAGACACGCAAAGTCAAGAGCTGGACTGTCTCGGCCTTAGAGGCAGTGAGACCCACGAGGTGAGGACCGACCTTGTCACTGAGCTGGTGTCCGGCCCTGAGCCAGCAGTGGCCAGCCCCTTTCTGCAGTCCAAAGGAGCCCACGCCGCTCTGGCCAGAACCACGTGGCCGGGGGAAGTGTGGCTCGGGGCATCCACATCCAGGACAGCCGCCCTTCCGCACGCGCACAGCCATGGCCTTTACCCTTCCAACCTGTGTCTGTGTTTCCTGATCATGTTCAGCCCCTCAGACCAAAACCAGGAAAATCTGCCGATGAAACAAAAGGACACTGTGCCTGATTCGGTGAATCTTCTTTAAGCATTGCAGAAAAAGCTCAACAGAAATACTGCCTTCGTCAAAGGACATCACCAGACTTGGTTTTCTTGAAAAGAAATAGAAATGATTTTTTGTGATTTTTCGTTTTTTACATTTGTAACTAAAGCCAAAAGACCAAAACAGCAGTTTCATGTTGCTAACAAACCTCCTGCCTTTGAGGCCTCTGCTCCGTAACACGAGTCTGCTTTCCGTTCTCTCCCCAGGGCCGTTCCCACATCTCCTGCATGCCTGGGACCGTGCGCCGCTGGAACTACCCATCCCCACTCTGCATCGGTGAGCTCGGCCTGCTCTGCTGGCCTCCCTTCGTGCAGCTCTGCTTCTCTGTCCACAGGCGGCTGTTGCGGTACCGACCCCAGGGCAGGGGCACAGAGAGTCAGTGTGAGGGGCTGCGCACCCCTGCAGGCAGCAGCGGCCTCACCAGGACTCAGTCTGGCTGCACACGGCAGACACCAGGGTCCCAGACCGGGGCACCACGCAGGCTGAGCCTGCAGCAGGGACCAGGTCACTGGCTCCCGGTAGGGGTGCAGCGGCTCTCGACAGCCTGTACCCCAGGCCCACACACTCCTGCCTCAGGCTCCACGACCCTCTGTGGGTGCAGCCAGGCACGTAGATCTCCAGTCTGGTAGAACTCCACAGAGAAGCTGCCTTTGAGGCTGGAGTATAAATTCCGGCCCAGTGATGGTGTCCAAGACTTCTCTGCAACTGTGACTCACATATGAGGAGATACTTTCTAAATTGTTCTAATTTGCTTTTTAAAAACTTGCAGAATATTTGAAACCTAGGATGTAATGTCCATGTTGAACAATTACCATCTTTACTTAGCTTATATTTTACATATTTTCTCGTACAGTGGCACCTCAGTTCTCAAATTTAATCCGTTCCACAATTCTAGAAAAAGATGGGCATGGTCATGTTCACACTCCATGCAGAGTTTGCAAACAAAAACAAAATTTTGCCGAATACTTCTGTTTGTGAACTAAATTTTTCACAAATAAAAGCGGTCATGAACCGAGGTAACAGTGTATTAAACTTTTCCTCAATAGATAAAGTTTTTCTATTTTGATGATTAAAAAAGATAAAAGGGCTCTGCTGTATGCCTAAGAGGACTTCTGAAGGACAGCATCCCCAAAACATTTTTGCACAGTGAGAACATCGTTAGGATAACAAGGTTGGTTCCATGGACCCCAAAAGTGGCATCATTTGCATTATTTGAAATGTAAGAATCTGCCACTTCCCTGGGACACAGTGGTCAGTTAGGCCTGGATGTCTTCTGCTCTGTCCTTCCCGGCATGTTTGTTATAGAGGCATCTGTGATTCTCACAGGCACACACTGCAGGCAGGGTGAGCACATGGGCTTACCACACAGCAGGGTCCCCAGGGAGAAGCAGGAGCCATCGGGTGCATTTCTGCCCTGGGAAGGAACCCAAGGCTAGCGGTGCTGGCTGATGATTGGGCTCTCAGACCAGATGAAGCTGGAACCCTGTGGCCCGGCTGTTTTCCAGGAGGGACCGTGGGGCACACTGTCCCGATCTGCACCTCTCGGGGTGTCTGAGACACTGAGCTGAGCAGATGTGCGCCCTGGTCCTGCACAGCAGGTGCCACAGAGACGGCACCCAGCACACAGATACTGAGGATGAACCGCCCTTCAATGCACAGTCCTCATAGGCCAGGGTGACTTGAAGTTTGGCTAAGATTCAGCTGCTCCGTGAACTGATGCTTCCTGTAGTGCTCTGAGCACAGAGGAAGACAAATTTTGAAAAATTCTCTTTGCTGCCAGCAGCTTGCAGCGAGGTGGGCAAGCTGAGCCCACTTGTAACTGAGCTTGGGGTTGCGTAGTGCGAGGGCTGTTGGGCTGATCTCGGGTGGGCTGAGCAGGGGTGTCAGGTCAGATAACACAAGGCCCGCTGACTCATGGCCACTGTTCCTCCACAGCCACCTGCGGAGGGACACTGACCAGCCCTGGGGGCGTGATCCTGAGCCCCGGCTTCCCTGGCTCCTATCCCAACAACCTGGACTGCACCTGGAAGATCTTGCTGCCCATCGGCTACGGTGAGTGGCCAGGGCGGACAGCCCATGGCCAGCTTGCCTGTCTCCCCCGGGAAGAGGTGCTCAGCTGCAAAAATGCGCCGTGCTTCTCACTGGGAGTGTCCTGCAGGCTACAGCAAAGCCTGGGCAGAGTAACTTTCAGAATGGAGAGTGACTTGAAACACGAGTTCAGCCATGTGCCTCTCTCCTGTGTCACGCAGGAGGCTCAGGACCGCAGAGTGGGAGTTCGGTGTGGGACATGATGGTTAGTCTGCTGTCTGTTTTCAGTTCCTCCTCTTCCCACCTATCGGTGGCCTTTTCTTGAAGAAAAATGAACCTGGTATTCTCCACTCCTGACAGATTTAATCGGGTGTCTTAAATCTCTCCACACAACTGGATACTGTTGTAGCTGCCTGACAGATTAACAGTCCGTGAATTAAACCACTTCCAGCCTGGTCAAATAACTCTTTTCCTTGATCCTACCCAGTCAGCCAACCCTGTGCCCAGGATCAATCAACAGTTTATTAAACAGCAAAGAATGACCATGGCTTTGGTCAGCGAGAAGCATTTTGTCCTGCTTCTGTAATCAGTCAGTCCAGCGGCTCTTCTCCCGCCACTCGGTGGGTCCATGTGGCCTGGGTCTGCACAGCACCAGGCTCTCAGCCCACCCAGAGGGGAGCCATGGCAGGGTTTGGGATTCTGACTCTAGAAACCCAACCTCCATCCATTACTGCGGCATAAATCTGTACAAGCCACCACGGGGTGCCAGGCCCTGTTTCCTGGCTCAGAATGAGAACAGCATGGCATCCTCGGGCACATGCAGGGCCTGGCAGGCATCCGTAGGGTGAGCTGCCTCTAGCAGACAAACCGAAGTCCGCCATGCTCCCTGCTGTTTTCTTCTCTTCACAGACTTAGCTTGCTGTTGGGTGTTACTTTGCCCAAGTTGAGTCCACTGAGAATTTTTGCCCGTATTTTCTCAAAAACATCTCAAGGCACAGATAACAGAAATCCCACCGAGTTGTTTTTGTTTTTCTTCTGAGTTTTTTTCCTGGTGAACCGTGATCTTTCATCTTTGCTACCACTACTAAGGATGCACAGATGCCTCCCTGCAGTGTTACGCGCTGGACCATCTTGTACCTCAGGGAAGGAACCAAAGGTTGCTTAGAATGTTTACTAAGAGCAGAAGACGTGAGGCCAGTCAGTCCACATTCACAGGCTCTGTCCATGGAGTGAGGTGGGAGTCTGAAGGTGAGGCCACCTTACTGTTCCGATTTCTGTCACACCCAAGGTGGAACTCCTGTGTAAGCGACTCTCCTTCTGCACTGGGATTTTCCACGTGTTGACTATAACCAGATGGAAATGTGCTGTGTAAACCTCACCAGAGATGGCCATTTAGATCAGCTCCCTTGTAATAATACAGCCTCAAAATATTCTGTATGATAAGAAAGAATAACTAGGTCACACTTATTTTAATCCCGTCAATCAGGCTGTCGGATGTCACACTGGACACGATTTGCTGAAAGTTAGATAGCTAAAAATTCTGCTCTAATCCAGATTAGAGCTGGACTGGGTCCTATTTCCTGATAGGCATTTGGCCCTTTGATAGGCGCCTGGATCCTTTATCCTGCTTAAAATGGTAACTTTGTTCACAATATTATAATCGTCATAATTCTGTTTCCTTTCAAGTCTAATTCCTAATGAGTAAAGCGATGCTTTCACATGGCCTGTACTTTGGAGACGTTCCCACCCTTGGCCTGGTGGTTTTCTTTTGTTCCTGTCTCTGCACGGATCCTCAGATGTGTCTCTGGATAACGCCTGTAACGCCCACCGTGCACGTCGGAAGTGAGCACCCTCTGTGCCCTGTCCTTGTCACTTGGTCCTGAGTGCTCGGATATTGCCCCACGTTTCCGACTTTGTGGTGCCTCCTCCCACCCACAGCCATGGCTGTGATGGGTCTTGATGGACCTTCGCAGGACCTTCGCAGGCTGCGTGGACCCCATGTGTCTAAGCGTGCCTGCACGCACACTCACACTCGCGTGGACACTGTGGCACACCTCGCTTAGCAGTCACAACGCCCCTTCCCATCGACTTTTGGGCCAGGCGACGACAAAAGCTGCTTTCTGGTCGGTGCTGGCTGAGGGCAGGTTGGGGACCGAGGTGAGGGCCAGCTCAGCATGAGCCCCAGCCCAGGCCCAGCACGCCCGCAAACCTTCCACAGAGCTTAGATTAAAAGGATGGATCACTGTGTAGGCTTGTTCGGCGGAGGGCAGGATGTGGCAGCTTCAAACACTCAGATGTTGAAGTCGCTCGCTCGCCTTGGTGTGACAGCAGGTCACCTGCGCCTGGTGGGGCCGCCTCCCTTGCTGCTGAGCACGGCCTCCCAGACTCCCTGCGGGATCCGAACCCCATCCGCACACTGGAAGGAATCACAGATTTTGGTTAACACTTCAAAGATACTTCTTTCTTTTCTGCTTCTTGCTTGTTCAGCCTCCTTCAGAAGTTTTCTCCTTTCTTTTCTTCTTCCTTTCCAACCTAAGTGGGACAGATTTAATGCAAACCTGTTTCTGCAAGAAGTTATGGAGTTTTAACTTCATGAGATTCTTAGCTCTTGGCCAGCCTGATTTCATGCCAAGCCATAAAAACTGAGGACTTTTGCCAGCCACGCTGAGGGTACAGCTCACTCTGCCTTTCTTGTGCTACCGTGGAGGCAGGGGTTGAGATTTCTGGGCCTCAGTTTGTCTGCCTGTAAAATTACGACAATAACCACAGTGACATGGTGGGCTGGTCTCAAGACAAAAACTGGCGAGTTGGATCTGACGTGTGCTCTCTGCCCTAGCTACGCCTATCCAGAGGGCCTATTATTTATTCTTTTCTCTTCTGTCAGGAAGTTTTCTCCTCAGTTGGTGAAACCGTTTGTCTTTTACAGTTTAAATTCTACTGGATATTTCTAGGTTTTCTCCTCTTCTTCCTGATGTATGTTCTAACTTTTTCACTGACCTATGGTTTTGGTAATCCCCTGTCCCTTTGATACTTGACAGCATACTTGTACTTGAAATTACTCTGCTTCTGCATGTAGACCGCATAACCATGTAAGCATTATCTTTCATTTTTCTCAGTTTAAAATATATAATATATTGGATAAAAATTTTAGCAGTACAAAGCAAAGCTTTTGTCATGTTGCTGTTAGGGTTATCAGTTTATGACCAAGTTACTAATGTCATTGTAGAGATTTATGCAAAGACTATTATATTTGGATTAGATCTATTTAAACTTTCTGAACAAATTAAAACAATTTAGACATAGTAGTTCAAGTTCCAAATGCTGCAACACCATGGCGATTTCCCTAAAGCACCCTGGTGCTGGCTCTTCTCAGTCATCAGCCATAGCTTGTTTGGTACCCACCTCGGTACGTTCCCAGAGCGACTGGTCAGTTGGACAACCTTTGGGGAACTTGGACTGAGCCATCTGTTGGCTTGAGTTTTGAGTCATAGTGGAGTTGATCAGATTGGTTTCTTAATTGCCTTAGCAATTTGCTTGCATAATGTAATTGAAAATAATCATTTACTAAACTTATACATTTCTCAAACTATTGTATTACTATCCAGTCAGCTTAAAAGCAACTTTTAAAGTTTGTTGATTATTTCTTATCAGTGTTGGCTTCTCCCTTGATAAAGTCATGGTTAACTTATGGATGATATATAACATGGTTCCAGCCTTGCACTTAAAGCTGTAATAGTTGTTAATAGCAACTGCACAATATTTTTGCTGTGAATACGTGCATTGGTCCCCCTTCTAAGGATTATGCCTACACATATCTGTGGTGCAGGGCTTACGATATTCATGTTTCACAAATACGCAGACTTATGGGCATTGACTTATGGTCAGAGACCACAAGGCCAGCTGTGGCAGAGGGACAATTGAACCGAGGTCCATGGTAATCCATAATGCATTCTCTCTCCACTATGCTGCTGTCTGATGGACAATTAAAATTACAGTCCCTTGATAAGCACTGGTTTGACAAATTTGTGTATGAGGTTTGAACACTTTTGTGTATCCTTCCTAGGTGCCCATATTCAGTTTCTGAATTTCTCCACCGAAGCAAACCATGACTACCTTGAGGTCCAGAATGGACCCTACCCCACCAGCCCAATGATCGGGCAGTTCAGCGGCACGGACCTGCCCTTGGCCCTGCTCAGCACAACGCACGAGACGCTCATCCGCTTCTACAGCGACCACTCACAGAACCGGCAAGGCTTCAAACTCTCTTACCAAGGTACAGGATGCCCACACACCTGCTTCTCACACATGAGTGGTGCTGAAGTGTAAATCTCCCGAGTTGGCTCAAACCAGGCACAGCTGGGTTGGTTTGGCGGTGCCCTGGTGTCTGATCAGTGTGGAGCCTGTTTGCCCTTGAGCGCTGCCCACAGGACAGGGGCACGCAGGGGTTGGCTGGGCACCCGTCCTCTCACCCCACGGCCCCGTGTCCACCCACACCCCTCCTGCCCTGTGCACCATGAAGGGAGCTGACTGTGTCTCTGCCGTGGTGTGCTCTGCCCCTGTCGTGCTCAGGTGAGGCAGAGAAAAGGTGTGAGCGCATCCTATTTTCGTCTAGCCAAGTGTGCGATCTCTATGAAAATGGAATCAGCTGTTGTCAGAGCATTTCTGACGTGTGCGGAGTTCAACATTTTCATTTCATGCAAAATAATGTAGTTGCCCTTTTCTTGAAAATCACTAAATTGAATGAAGTTGAAAGTGTCAGACCTAGGGCTTTTTCTTTTTTTGAGACAGCTAAATCAGTTGCATTGCCAGGTTTTATAGACCACCCTCAGAAACAGGTTTTGATTGTTATTACCGGAAGAGACTAGTATTTCATGCTGGCCTCTCAGGCACTGTTGCTGAAATTCCCACAGAGTAAAAGCACAGAGACACGTCCAGAACATAGGGCTGTGGACGCAGGAAGGAGGCAGGTGTAGGAAACCCATGTAGCCTCAGAGCCCCGTGGTGCCTGCAGATGGGAGCACTGGGCCTGCACCGATGCTCTGGATGTCCTCTCCTCCTCCTCCTCCTCAGGGTGTGTACTGCTCCCTGCTCCACAGCTCTGCACACAGGCGCGCACACACACACAGGCACACTCACCTGTGGGGCAGTGCGGGTCTCCGCCCCTCAGCAGGTTGCAGGGCCCACTCCCTCGTGCTCCCTGGGCCCCTCCCCACTCCATGTCCACAGGGCTGTGTGCTCCACGCCTCTCGCCCCATCATCCTCTGTGCTCCAGAAGCACCCCAGGCCAAGGTCCTCTCCACCTTGTGGTGTCCACACCCTCAGCCACCTCAGCCTTGATGTCCTCCTTCTGCACTCCACTCCGCTCCACCGACAGGAGGACCCCACCTGCCCACCAGCTCTGGGGGAGGAAGCAGAGTTCTTCCTGGGTTCGCCATGTGTGGAGGTCACTGGTGCCACCCACGAGATGTTTCCCACTGCCTCCCTTGGGACTCCAGGTGCAGATGCCCCTTTGAGATTTAGGGCAGTAGTTGACCTCCCTCGACTGGGGAGATCTGGGTGGGTGTCTTTGGGATGGGAGCTGGTTGGCCAAGTTGGGTCTGCTTGCAGGGTGACTGGCTGGGACCTCAGCCTCCCAGGTGAGCTTTGTCATGAAAGTCACTGGGCTGCTTTGGCATGAGCCAGGCCTCCTCAGAGCTCATCCAGTGCATGAGCTCATGAATGACCTCTTCCAGAGAGAGAGGACCACACATCTGCCTCCCCCGGGGTCTGCTTGGTTCTGGGCACACTGGGCAGGGCGTGGCCAGGAGCCCAGTACAGTGGGGCCTCTGCCCTCCTGCCCAAGTTGTGCTCTCGTTTCCTGTCTGAATCAAGGCTGTTTCGGACCCTGCGTGCTGTGGACATTGGCAGCCAAGCCAACCCAGCTCAATGCAGACTGCCACGAGCACCATTTGTCCAGCTTTAGACAGCTGTGTGCCTAGTGGGCTTCCTTCCGGGACTAGGCCTTAAAGCCAAGGGAGGTTGGCAAGGATGGTAGGATTTCCATTCCGAGCAGGGAGCATGAGCCACAAGACCACCTCAGGCCCTGGTTGTCCGTGTGCAGAGCTACTGAGACAAGAGCTTTGCGGGCCCCATCTGCCCTTGTCTTCCTCTCTTTCCATCTGTCCTGCTCCCTCCATGAGTCCCAGAGCACGGACCTGATGCCCAGGGCAGGTGGCTGCAGGACAGGGCTGGCGGGGACCTGAGCTGTGGCCTGATAAATGGCGTGGTGCTGGGAGTCCAGTTCCGCCTGTGGGGAGGACCACTGCTGAGATCGGACTGCTCCTGGGTGCACAGGGGTTAAGGTGCCCCGCCCTGCACTGCTTGGACCCTGCACCCCAAATCCCATCAGCAGCCCCCACCGGAAGCAGCCAGCCTCACTTTTGCGTGGTGTCGGTGCAGTTGGGGTTGAACCCGGGGCCTGCAGGGACGCCAGGCTCTTCTTCTGCCCCTCGGCCACACCCACCCCTGGGCTTGGGGCTCCGTCCCCGTCCCAGGCCCCAGGACTCCCCAGGGTCAAAGGGCCAAAGCTTCGATAATTAGACGTGCAGACTAAGGAGGACAAAGGGACTCGGGAAGCAGGAGAGAAAATAGGGGCTCATGCAGCCCTAAAAATCGGACGAGTCACGTGCTGCCCTGAAGGCCCGCCTCTTCCACAAGTGTTTGGTCAGGAAAGTGCGAGGGTCAGGTGGCAGCGCTGTCCTCCGGCCTTGCCTCTACCGTGTTTTCACCCATCAGCCACCTGTGACCTTTTAAAATTCAGTTTCTGGGTTTAGAGAGTCAACTCCAAAGACGTTAGGCCACCTTCAGAAAACAAGCAGCGTAAGAAGCAAGACTCAGATGAGGCAAAGGTTAGGTTGTAGGAGCGCCCTTGTCATGTTGTGGGATAACAGATACGGACACAGTTGTAATGCCGCCTCGCCCACCCCCGGCTGGGGACAGGCAGGGCCCTGGGCCCTGAGCAGCTGGGCACGATCTGTTTTCTCCTGGGACAGTCAGGACTTGACAGCTGCTTCTGCTATGAGCCCCGACTCTTCACCCGGGACACACATGCCCAGTAGGTGACCAAGATCAAAACAAAGCTTGGCCTTCGCTTCGGATCCTCAGTTACTGTGAGCCCGGCCAGGTCCCTTCCTGGCTCTGCGTGGGTGTGTGGGTCACGCAGGGGAGCCTTCCGGGCGCCGGCCACCCAGAGGGTGTTGCCGCTCCAAGATGCGCACGCCTTCGCAGAGGGTCAAGGTGTTCAGCTCCACCCAGGCCACAGGGCCGCCCGGGCTGTGTTTCCCGCGTGCCCCCCGTGTCTGGGTCCCCGCCTGGACGGGTGCCCCGAGCCTGGGGTGTGGCTTCGCTGCCTGGAGAGGACTGCTTTGGTCACCTCGAAGCCTCTCCCTCTGCCAGCGGTGCTTCGATGCTTCGATGCTTCTGGTTTTGTAGGCACACCCCCTTTCCCGGGAGAGCCAGGCCCCGTGCCCTGCCAGAGATGAGAGGTGAGAGAGGGCCGGGCGCACGCCCGTCCTCAGCAGGCACACTCAGCTCTCCTTGGAGCTGAAGTGACTGGGTCCTCTCTGGTTAGAAATCACCATCTGATCGAGGACCGCTTGGTAGCGGCTCAGATACCTGGATTCAGTTTGCAGTCAGTGTCGACGTGCTGAATGTTTTCTAGAGAAGCGTCCCCACTCCGTGGAGAGGAGAGGGTGTGCAGACAGAGCCGTAGAACGTTGGGCAGCAGTGACCTTTGAGGTGAGCCCACCTTTCTCTCCCCTCTCCGGTTTCTGAGCATCTGCCCTCCTCCTGCTCTAGCCCTGCTCAAGTGCCGCCTGCTGCTGTACCTGCTCGAACACATGTCTCTTTCATTCCCGATCGTCATTTAAACTTGGATTCTACACGGTAACTCTCACTTTAAGTTAGCACAATAGTAGGGTCCAAGTCAGTGAGAAAAGCATGAAACAACTATGAACCCCAACCATTCCCTGCTAAGGAGCTGGCCAGTCTCACCCCGGAGGATCTGCCCCACGTTGAGTATCCTCAGTGTTGTGTTCCGACCCCCACTTTCCTGTGGACACGGCAGAAGCCCAGATACACATTCCCACTTTGATATTGTTTTCCTGTTGGTTTATCGTACATAATCTCCAACACCCATGAGTAAAGAGAAATTCGAGTGTGTTGATTTTCTAGGCAGTTATGTCTACATAGTTCCAAAAGCTATTGATTATTTTAATCTAACAATGGTTTACAAACAGATGCCACGACAAGTCTGTGTCACAGTTTTCTAGAGCAGTGGCCACACATTGCCGGCATGTATAACTAGAGGTCACATGATCTCTGCAAAGCCTGCTGGCCTCTGTCCCTTTTCCTCCTGCATCATCAGGACCACAAGTGCCTGACTCATGTTCCCAGGTGGTGAGTCCCCCTCAACGGCCCCTTGCAGGGCTGGGGAGTGACCCCGCAGCTTGGTTCATTGATGTCATCTTTGTGACCTTGAGGCATCTGGGTCCCCAAGTCCTTTTCCAGGGCAAATACCTGATTGGTTGAATAAAGGTTGAAACCAGACCCTAAGAATCCGCATTAAGAAGTCACTAAGCAGCACATTTTTATCATGGTTAATTTGTTTAACTGAGGGATTTGAAAATCAGTTAAACAAAAAGAGAACATAAACTTCAGGTGTTCTAATGTCTTGTTGTGGGCTATCATACCAGACAAGGATGATAATTAGTTTACCAGTAGTTGTCATGTTATAGAGATTATAAATTGACAGAATGACACTTGATTCTGATTTGTAAGTCACTTATAAAATACTCCAAGGTTGTACTTATGATTTATAAGCTGAGGTTATAATTAATAACTCATAAGAAGATGAATAAATCATGCAGATAATTCTTGTCACTCACAATGATGTCTGTGTTGTGCACCTTATTTTTAAACTATGTCATTTATTTATGACCACGTGAAGGTCAAAATGTTACTAGTCCTCTTGCTGTCTTGAAGTTAAATGACTTATAAGAACTTTGTTAAATAAAATAAATTTAACATGCCCCATTTTTAAGTCAAGTACTGGAAAATAGATGAGAGTATAAAGGTATTTATCAAGTGAGTAGATGTTAAGTTGAAAATATAAAGCTATTAGAAAGATGAATCTGTGGTTTCATGTCATGTTAAGCACTTACGATTCAGGACTTGAGTTAAGGATCCTGCAAGACCAATAGATGTAAACAAGCAGTTCTTTCCCAGAGCCACCCC